CTCAAGAAAAAAATAGATAAATAAAATAAATTAAGATATTATATTTAAATTGAAATATGAAGCAGCCCATAATTTCAATTTTCAAGCTGGTAAGCTTCAAGCTTTGAAAGCAAGCAACTCAGCATGCCGTCACCAATTTCGATAACTGTTGAAAATTTTTTTATATCTCAATTTATTTATTGATATTCAATAATATTATTATCATGTAAGTTTAAAGGAAAAATTGCAAGAAGGTCCCACTCAAGAGAATTAAAAACAAAAAGTTCCTTAAAATTATCAAATTATTCTAAAGTTTCAAAGGTTCTTATTATAAAAGAATTCATTTGTTTAATTACCAAATTACCTTTTTTTTTAAAGTTTGTATTGACAATTAAAAAGGCAGTCATTGACAATTTAAGGTGTAAGGATTGATCGTTATTGCGGCAGGTATTGACAACTCATACATTTCATTTTGTGATATACTAAGAAAATGTGTTGTCAATACCTGCCGTGATAGTTGTCAAGTTTTATATCTTAAGTTGTTAATGACTGCTCTTTCAGTTATCAATGCAAACTTTAAAAAAAAGGCAAATTGATAATTTAACAAATAAAATTTATTGCAATGAGGTCCCTTGAGATTTTAAAATAATTTGATTATTTTAAGGTACTTTTTTGTATTTAATTCTCTTGGATGAGACCTTATTGTAATTTTTTCAAGTTTAAAAAGCATTTTTATTTAAAAATATTATATTCTTTCATTAAGGGAAATATGGTGAGATTGGATAATTTTCTCACCCATTTTCATCCAATCAAATATAAATTTTTACATCAACCCATTTTTTTTCCAATCCTTACCAAACATATTATCACTAAAAAGAATTTCATTTCATTCTTTTTATTCCTATCAATTCTTTCTAACAAATGAGCCCGTAATTTTTTTGGATTATGGTAAATAATAATCCCTCCGTCTTTTTTATAAGCAACCTTAGACTAAATCACATAAAATAAAAAATTAATTAAAATTGGTTAAATACAGTAAATATTTAAGAATTGGAAGTTTTTCTACAAAATACTGTTATTTGTGGAAGAGAAAGTACAAGAAAAAAAGTAAGAAAATTATTATAATAAAAAAATTATGAAAAAGAGAAAATGTGTGGTGAAGAGAGATTATGATAAAATATAATTTTCAGAACATTTATTATCTAGGAAATGATGTTTTAAAAAAAATAAATATATTAGCTATTAAAATAAATCTTTAACGAGGGCAAAATAAAAAATTTATTACAAAATTTAGGATAACTTGCTAATATTAGTTATATTTAAGAATAAAGAGATGAAGATGACTGGTGCTTATAAAAAAAATGATGGTAGTACACTATTTGAAGCAGAATTTTTTATGAAAAAACAGTGAAAGAAACTAGAAAGAGTTGGTAAAAGAAAAAGTAAGTGAAATATACAAGAAGTACTCGCTAAGGCTCCGCTTACGTCTTGCGTGCGCGGTCGACCACAATAGCGTGCGTCCTACTCTATGCTGTTCCAAGTTCCACGCCGCCCATCCATTCTATCTAGAATGTAGGGCTGTGCAGAAACCCGGTGGTCCGGTATGGTCTGGTCCAACCCGAGCAAACCCGATCCAGTCTGGTCCAGAAAAAATTGGCCCAAAACAAGACTGGACTAGACTGGACCGGACTGGTCTCATCGGGCTGGACTGGACTAGGGACTGGCACCTCAGACCAATTGGTCCAGTCCAGTCTAGCCCGGTTTTTTTAAATTATTATTTATATAATTTTAATTTGATTTAATTTTTCTATATAAATTTTTTATCTATTCAAATAATCAAGATTTATCTACTAACTTTCTAAGTAATAAGCATGCATATATATTTTCTACAATTTAATATCTATATTGATGAGGATTAATTAATAAAACATGACTTCATTGGGAAATTGAAAAGGAATGATCAAATTTGATAAACTTTGGATTAAAATATGTGCAAAATTTTATATAGTAAGTCACAATCTTACCTCCTATTGAAAGAAAAAAATTTTTTTTTAAAAATAAATTTAAGTCTGGACTGCCTGGACTGGTCCAGGCAGTCCAGAGGACCAAGTCTAGTCCAACCCGACCTCGGGTTGGCACTGGACTGGATCAGACCTCGGGCTGTCTTTTTCAGCCCGAGGTCTTTACTGGACCAGACTTCGGGTTGATAACAAACCCGGTCCAGTCTGGTCCATGCACACCCCTACTAGAATGTGCTGATTAGAGATGGAAATAGGTCAGACGGTCTGTTAGGGTCCTGCCTGACCTGACCTGACCTATTTAGATATTAGACCAAGCTCAGGCCTGTAAAAAGACCTGTTTACTTTATCAGGCCAGGCTCAAGCTTGATAATAAGCCTGTTAGGCCTGTCAGGCAGCCTGGGTCTGTTATCTTTTTTTTTTTTAGGTTAAAATTATAAATTAATAGGAGAGAATCTGCTATTCTGATTAGTTAATTGAGAAAACTCCATCCACATAAACGTGATATCTAGAGCCTATTGCATGCTTCATTTCATTCCCATTATCTATAATAAAAATAATTGATGTATGTATAATGACACATATTTGAACAGAGAAAGAAAACATAAGTGCATTAAAAAAATAAAAATAAAAGCATCATTCATTTATTTGATCCATGCTTTTTATATTAATCTTATATAGAATATATATATATATATATATAGAATTGACCTATTATGTTTTAAACTGTATATATGTGTGCTCAATCTAATTCTTATTATAATAGTTACTTGATTAATTTAAATAAATAAATAAATAAATTAGAATAACTGTAACATTTTTTTTTAAAACAACCATGTGTAACAAAAGGATCAAATATCATTTTGTTAGTAAATTAGTTTGAATAAATGATAAATTTAAAATATAAAAGGGATTAAGGATGTTTCATATTTTAAACTAGATCTAGTCATCAACTAATTTTTATACTAGAGATGGGATGGAGTTATATTTTTATATCAGAGTGAAATTATGTTTTCTAATAATTTTTCATATTAGATTTTTTTTGGGCATAAGGGGACATGTTTTACAAATCGTGTCAATTTGATAATTTCTTTTTTTTTGTTTGTATTTTAGATCAATTAGGTTGAATTATTGTAATTTTAAATTGATTTATGTGTGTTTAAAATTTATTAACAGGCGACAGGCCTCTTAACAGATCACAGGCCAGGCTCAAGCCGATTAAAAGGCCTTTCACAGTCCCCAGGCCAGGCCTGTTAAGGGTGAGGCCTGGCCTAGCCTGTTTCCACCCCTAATGCTGATATGCTGTTTTTGTCTAAACATTAAACATGTTTTCACTAATTTTATTTTTAATTAATTATCTATTTTCTCATTTATTTTTTATACTATATTTTTTTATCATTTATCTCAATATTAATATTTGGCTCTCTTATTTTTCCTCTCATTAAATGAGAGCATTATTTGAAAAAGGTTCAAAACACATTTATTATTTTTAATTAATTTTAACTATTTTCTCTTAAACAGTATGACTTGATTGAAAGGATCTTATAATAATCAATGATTAATATAGTGAGATAATATATAAATAATTAATATTAAAATATAAAAAATTTATTAAAATTTTGTACATATTTTAAGTGTATCCCATAAACTGGATAAGGCCACTATTTTATAGATAGAATAAAATAGAGGCGTTAATAATTACTAAAAATATTTATGATATTTTTTAAGGTTTATCTAATGTCTTTGAAATATTTTTTTCGTGTACATTCAAGTATCCTAAAATATTTTGTGCTTAATCCATCGCCTTGATGTTTTTTTTTTTGAGTGTATCAAACACCTTAAAGCATTTTATATTGTAATTTTATTCTTAAAGTATTAAATTTTTTGGAAATAATTTTTAAAATATTTTTCTAAGAGCAATTTTAATACTATTGTTAACTCTTCAAAGAGTATGTCAAGTGAACGTGCATCAAGTATTCTGTGGGTGCAACTTGAAAAATATTTCATGATGATAGATGAATCACAAAATTTTTTATCACAGTATGGATGTATTTCAAAAAAATTATTTGAAAGTATTAGGTGAACTACAGAAGCTTCTAAAATATTGGACACCTAAAGGAATAGTTCAGAATATAAAATCAAATTTAATATTTTATTATGTCTCACAATCCAATAACTAGAATTCTTCGAAGACACAAGTTTAATCCGACAGGGACAAAATTAATGACTCAGGAACAAAGTTGTCCATGTGACTTATATTTCTTATGCGGAAAGATTATATGTAGCAACTTTTATCAATGTGGAAAATTTTATTTTCTCTGCCAATCTAAATAATCTTATTGCCAATATGTTGGTTATAATAAGCTCTATGGCGAGAAGTGCGAATATCCAAGGAGCCCTTCACAAGCATTTGCATCCAGAGCAAAGGAGTGAGCGCCGTCCGCCTTGACGTTGGTTTCCTTTTCACACATTGCATGTTCTAATTTATGGGGTTTTAAAATATTATATATTATATCTTTGAATGTTTATACGATGATAAATTTATTCTTGGTGGGTCCTATTTTCACCCGGTCAAAAAAAATGAATTTTTTTTAAAATAAAAATTCTAGTAGGTACACAATTGACAGTAAAAATGGTCTATTTTGACCCGATCTAAAAAACTTTTTTTTCCTAGTAGTGTAATTAATTTAAATAAAAATAAGGTATAGCACAAATATTTACCCATACTTGTTACTATTCGTATTTGTGCCACACTGGAATGGGGACTAGGTCCTAATCCTCTAAGAATAGACTAAATATAGCCCCTATATTGATCTTAATGGCAAGATAAAAGCCTAATGGCATAGACTCCAATGGATAATCATCCCACTGAAAATATCTTAACCTATCAGGACAATAGTCAAGATTCGAAGGAAGCTCTATACATGCCTTAATTTTGGACCGCTCTGTAGAGTAAAAAACTTTGAGGATTTTCAAAATTTTCATCTTTGAGAAGGCATATGCTCTCAATTTTAAATGCTTGATTTGAGACACATCCAATATAATGCCTTCAATTTCATTAGCTTCCTGAACAAAATAAAATAAAAATTAATTTTTTTAAAATATCAAAATATAAAAATAGAACAAATAAATTGATGTATCTTTCCCTTACCTTGTTACTTTTTAATACATCACATATTTCATCTACATCTTTTAATCAGCTACGCCTTTCAGGATGTATCATATATTCTGCATGGACTCTTTGCGTAGCTATTTCTCACATCAAATCATGTATTATGATATAGCTATAACAATTGGACATTATGAGAGCCTTATTGATAAGATTTTATATTGCACTAACTGATTTGAAACCACAAGCCTCTAGTACATAAGCAATTTCATCTTTTGGTTTTCCCAAGGAAAAAAATGCAATGTCTAAACTATTTCCTTGTCCATAGGATCCAATCCATCACAACTCACCTTCAATATATCTTGAATTTGCTGATGGGGATGCTTTTGGAGTTTGCTAAGCTCACTTTCCCAGTATTCTTTATCTCTAGAATGAAAATGGGAACCCAAAACTTCTAAAACTAAAGGAATGCCTTTAGCCAAGGCCACTATCAAATTTGATAGCTGTTCATATTCCTTGATGGGATGATTTTGATTGAAGGCATGGATACTGAAAAGTTCAAGTGATTCTTCCAAACTTAATTTATTGACTTCATGTATGCATTTTTCATGAATCCCTCCACTTCTAAGAACATGCTTGTCTCTACTTGTTGCAATGACCCTGCTGCCTTGTCCTAAGTAAAGTTGTTGTCCTGCCAGATCCTTTAGTTGCTTTGGATTATCCACATCATCAAGTACAATTAAGACTTTTTTTTGTTTCAGCCTTCTCATCACGTGATTCATATTTATGTGATCTTTTTGATCTAATAGCTCAGAAAGAAGTTTTTGAAGCAAAGAATTCAAACCACCAATCTTTGTTGATTCTTCTCTCACGTTTTCTAAGAAACAATGACTTTCAAATTTAGACAAGAATTTGTCAAATATGGCACGAGCAAGAGTTGTTTTCCCTATCCCTCCTGGGCCCCAAATTCCAAGGATTCGACCTTATGGCAACTCAATTTCCATTAATGATTCAACACTAATGAAATTTTGATGAAATCCAACAAGCTGAGATCTTGGCACAATTGGACTCTTATCTTCCAATTTTTTTAAGACGCCTTCAACTATTGCATTGATGAGTTCAGATTCATTTCTGGCATATAAAAATCAAATAAAATTATGCTAGTAATGCATTATAGAAGTAATTAATGCTAGACGTAATTTTTATATGACGTTACTATATTTAAATTGTTTTGAACAAACTGAGAAAAAGCTTAAGAAATTAAGAATAATAAAAATAAACTTACTGAAAATTTGATGAATGGTAGCCAGATAAGTCCGCGGTTTTTGTCAAGACAGATCTCCAAATTTCCAAATTACCCACTTTATCCTTGGACTTCTGTTCATGATGAGTAAATGCATCCTCATAAGTGCATTTTTGATGCCTAACATCTGAAGGATCTACATGATAGAAAACTGGTATCACAATCTGTTGCTTAGCTTCCTTACATTCCATGATTTTGACAAGCTCTTCTAAGCACCACTTTGAAGAAGCATAATCTTTTGAGAATATAACCAATGCAATCATGGATCCTTCTATTGCTTCTACAAGTGCCCATGATATTTCTTCTCCTCTTTCAAGCCTATCATCGACATAAATATCTATGTTCTTTTGATGCAACTCTTTTTTCAAATGGCTGAGAAAACCAGATCTAACGTCTGATCCTCTAAAACTGATGAAAACTTCATACTTTCGACATGGAGCTTCGGGAGAACAAGCATAAGCAAAAGCAGCCATTGCTTGGAGACAAAAAAAAAAAAAAACTATGTTTTGTAAGCTGTTGATTATTTGTTAGAAAGAACAAAAGAATAGCGTTTAGGTTGCTAGAGAATGAGGAAGAAAGGCCACCTGGTCGGAGATGCTAAATCAAATCTGAGGTTGAAGAGTTGAAGTTGATTTGGTGAGTTGGCTTACCCTGGGAATTCAATCGGCACACCAGAAAAAATAAGTCCGTCAGTATTGAGTGCATTTAAGATTTTAACAGTCAAAGTAGGCCGAAATTTCCGCGAAATAGTGAGAACTTTGGTCAGCAGTTCTTTTTGACTCCAAGTCAACAACGCTTTTTTTTTTTTCCTTTAAAACTTTGAAATTTCCAGGAAGCAAGGAATGTTCTTCCGGTATGATTTTCTTGCCTTATTTTGTTTCGGATTTATAGCATGCAGAAACTTCTAAGGAAGTTAGTTTTTTTTCCCCTGTTTAAAGTACAACTTTTATCAATATGCCAGAATTTAAGAATTTTTTTTAATATTTAAAATTTTAATGTGAATATTTCTTTTAATACATGCTGTTAATGTTATAGAACTGCAAAAAAATTCTATGAAAATAATAATAATCATATTAATACCTTCGTGGGAGTGTCCAAAATCAAATCTTAGCTTAGGTTGAAATTATAATTTGGCGATGTGTTTGGTATTCACATCGTGTGGGTGAACATTTGTGGCTTAAAATTTTGTAAGCATAAATTTCTTGGAAATATGAAGTTCAGCCATTGACTCTTCTTGAATTCAAGTAAAAAACACAACATTATTTTTTGGGTTTTTATTGTCTAAATTAGTCAAAAATTTTCAGGAAGTCGATGTCAAAGGAAAAATACTTCCTTTTTGTATCTGGTTTAAATTAATTAAAAATTTCCCGTACCAAGTAAAAAGAAAAAAAGTTAGTAAAAAAAATGTGTGTAAAAAGTGCCTTTTGTAAGAAACACCGCAATTAATTAAAAAAAATTATGTACTTTTTTTTGAGCAAAAAAAAATCATGTACTTTATAAGACAAAACTCCTATTATGTTATATTAGAAAGTTTCAGGAAGCCAGGATCGTTCTTCTGGTATGATTTTTATTTCCTTGTTTTGTTTCTGATTTTATTTTAATTTTTTGGGTTTAAAGTGCGTAGAAATTTCAATGTTCCTTCGTTTACGAGTGGGACAGATATCTCCAAAAGTTTGTCCCAGTTTTTATCTGGTTTAAATTAATTAAAAATTTGCTGTTCCAAGTGGGAAAAAAACAGTGAGTAGAAATTAATTAAAAATTTCAGGAAGTCTATGTCCAACGAAAAAAAGCTTCTTTTCTTTATCTGGTTTAAATTAATTAAAATTTCCTGTACCAAGCCAAAAAAAAAAAAACAGTGAGTAGAAATTTCCCCGATGTAATGAAATTCTGTCTTTATTAACTCTTTTTGACCTATGAAAAAACATACCTTTTTACTTTCTTTCTTTTTTTTTTGGTTTAAGGTCTTTCACGAAGCTGCTGTGGAAATTGCTTAGTGAAAACACATTTTTTTTCCCTTCAATAAAGAAAAATACTTTTTGACTCCAAGTCTAAAATATTTTATTTTGGTTTTACTTTAAAAATTTTTATTTATCTTCAAGAATTCTTTACTGTTATCCAATACCTTAATTATGTTTATCAAAAATTTTTTAAAGACAATAAACACATATAAAAACATTTTATTTTTAGAAAATATACTTATTTATGGGGGGACAGTGAATGAATGAGAGAGAAAGTGAATAGAAAAAATGTGAAAAATAATTAATGTGGTAATAGTAACATATAATTAATGAGGAACAAGATATAAAAAATTGGTTAAAATTTCAAACACACTTTAATAATGTATCTTATAAATAGGATCAAGATTCAAGACACCCTAAAAGTTGTATCTTATAAATAGAATGAGACGGAGAAGTTAATAAATGTTGAGAATATTATTATATCTCACAATTCAATAACTAAGTATTTTGGCCTAAACTTCCACCAAATAATAATGGAAAATTTTCGAGTCCACCAACGCCTTCTTTTTAATATTGTTTAAAGAATAAGAATTTTCGACGAAGCCATGAAAGTTCTTTTTTTTAAGAATTTTCGTTTGAAGTACGCAGAAATTTTTTAAAATGACTGCACAATCACATGCTTTCTTACCCATTCATTTTCTACAACGGTTCGTGCATATTAATACAATGCAAATAATTAAAATGATTACTTTGATATAATCAACGCATTTTCTAATAAATAATTAATTTAAATTAATTATTTGTCTCCTATTTTTGAAATCAGAAAAATTAATTAATAAGTACGGAAAATCAGTAATAAAATTCTTGACAAAGGAGTGAAGTTTCTATCTGATTTACGGGATTGTCTGTGTTCTTCTTCTTCTTCTTTTTTTTAACCTTTTATTTACGTGGAAATATTTTATGTAGTAGCTTTGTTAATATAAAGAATCTAATTAAAATTCTAAAAGTATAAAAATAAAAAATATTGTGCGTGTTGTTATTTTTTAAAATAATTGAAATATTAAATGCTCGTAAGTGGAAGATGGCAAGTTCAATCTACTATAAAAAGGTGCATGTGATGATTTATAACATTTTTTATTTGCATCTATATTTTTTCCTTTTCATTTACATCAAAACTTTATATCCGATAATTTTTAGAGAAAATTAATTTATAATTCCCTAAAATTTCCAACTAACCTTTTCCCTTGTTTCATAATCCACCTTTTCTTTGTATCGTAAAATTACTTGAAGAAATTAATCCAACACCCGAAAAAAAAAAATCAAATATTAGCTTGATAAGACTAAAGCTAATTTGGCGGACTTCGTTTATGTTGATTTGTCGAGTATTCCCACTCTGTTGGTAGATATCTCTAGTTTAAAATGCGCATAAATTCTCACGAAATAATAAAAAAGTTTGGTCATCAAACTCTTTTTGACTACACGTTAAAAGCGCTTTCTTTTTTTTGAGTTTTTTAATTATCTAAAGTAATCAAAAGTTTGCACCAATGGACTTTATTCACATTGGGTCGGTTTTCTAATTTTCGTTAAAATCCTTTGTCTAAAATCTTAAAAATATTTCGATGGCAAAAATAAAAAATAAAATCCTTCAAATACAAACTTTTATTTTCTTCTTGTCATTGTTGTTTCTGATTGTACGTAATCAAGAAATTTTGTACATATGCAAAAAAAGGAAAAAGAAAAAGAAACGGTAAGCAGAAATTTCAACAAAACAATGAAAATATATCTTAATTACAGTCTTACATGAACAGGATATTATTGAAAGCAGGATTTTTTACGAAGATGCAGTGAAGAGTATTGGAGAATAAGATAATGACAGAAAAAGTGAGTAAAAACACACAAAAAAAGTACTCCTCCGGTCCTAATTATAAGACCCAATTGACTTATTTGAAGAGATTAAGGAAGTAAGTTAAGTTGGTTATTTATAATAAATAAGTGTTGTCATTCCTAAAATATCCTTGCTAATTAAGTATATTGGCTAAAACTATCATTATTAGAAGGATTATCTTGGAAAAAAATGCATAAATATAAGAGACAAAATGGATTGGGGTCTTATAATTAGGACCAAATAAAAAGTCAAATGGGGTCTTATAATAAGGACCGGAGAAGTATATAAGAAGTAATTACTAATTAATATAGCAATGTAACTTATAAATTATTAAGATTAAAATAGGAAAAATGAACAAAAAAAATACTCATTGAAATTGAAAAAGACAAAAAGATCATCCAAATAAGTAAAATGACCAGATGGGCATGAGATATGGATTTGGGATTCGTAAGTTTTGGTGGAATGACTAAAATGCCCCTGAAGTAAAAAGAAACAAGTAGACGAGGGTTTTTACATACTGACATATTGACTAAAGCAGGTTGCAAAACTTGTTATGCAAGTAGTCATTTTCATTTTGCAAGTTGTTTTCGTTACATGTTTAGTAAAATTATGTGCAAAAGGATTAAAAAGGTTGCAGATAACTAAGTTATAAATCTCCGGACACAAACGGTAAATTTCATTATGTAAGGATTCATTCCTATTACTTTCTTGTAAAATTGTCTGCAAATGGCTTAAAACAAGTTGCAAAACTTATTACATAAATAGTCACTTTCATTTCGCAAGTTACTATTCCTATTACATATTTAGTAAAATTGTGTACAAAATGATTTAAAATTATTGCAAATAAACAAGCTGCAAATCCTCTAATGCCAATGGTAACTTTTATTGTGCAAGTTGTCATTTACATTAGATGTTTTGTAAAATTGTCTACAAATGGCTTAAAGCAGATTGCAAAATTCTTTATACAAATGGTCACTTTTATTTCGCAAGTTGTTATTTTTGTTTCATGTTTAGTAAATTGTGTGCAAATAGTTTAGAAATAATTGCAAATAAAGAGGCTGCAAAACACATAATGGAAATTGTTATATCCATTTCAAAAGTTATGAATCACTTCACAAATGTTGTCAAAAGCTACCTTTATTTTATGATGCCCAAAGGTAAACATAATTAGTACATGTTATCAATAACTGTGCAACAATAATGATTCAATATGTTTTTGTAAACAAATTTCATCTACAATTGTAAGTCAAATATCATAATAATAGTTGGACAATGCATTTGTCTGTGCAAATGCTATACTTCAAGTTCTTTCCCAACACAAGAAATTCTTTTTGAAACAACATGCATGTACCCATTCTTTACTTTTTTACTTGGCTCTCTTTTTAATACTGTTTTTCCTTCCTGCAAAAAACACAATCTCAGTCATTCACTGTACTATATTTCTTTTACAACAATCTAGTCATTATCAAAAGAAATGTAGTTAATTCTATTAAGAAGTATAGTAAATTCTATAACCCACTCACCTTAATTTGCTTCACAACAATATATTCATTAACATAACAAATCTGGTAAGCTCCATTACCAAATAAATTCAATTCCAGTAACAAGTAAACTTTCTTGGCTTTATAGAAAAATATCAACACAAATATAGTCATTCACATTCCAAGCGTTGTCATTTCACTACAAACCAACCAAGACTATTTACTACTTAAATAACAAAATGTACTGCTCAGGTATTAAAATTTATTACTTGTTCTTGAATTATGAGAACATAGCAAAAAATATAGACTAACAAGATAACAGACTTTAAGAACAAATTTAATTAGAAGATAGCAAAAAGTTAACCAATATAAATGGACCCCATTATAAAGACAAGAAGTCTTAGGAAAATCCTATAGAATTAGAAGATTGGTTTCTCTGTTTATTACATTAAAAACAATAAAAAAATTGAAAGTAATAAATTTCAAAGACGCATCAATGCATGAGCTTAGTGTGAACAACATTTAGGAAAAATGGGAACAAAGTTACCCCTTTTGATGTTGATGGTTCAATGGTTGAAGCTTCTCACAGATGCTATGCACATTTCTCACTAAAACTATCCTCAATGGTGGCAATGCAAGTGGATGACGTCAGAGAACAGCAGTTTTATGGTTTGGGTGAGTCCATGACTTAGGATAACGAGGGCTTCACAATTTGGGTGAGTAGGAAAGTTAGGAGATCGACAGCTTCCTAATTTCGGTGAGACAGCAACTTTGGCAATTTTGGCATTTTGGAGGAGATGAGTTTGGACGAGTGAGAAATTTTGGAGAACTAGGGCAATGAACACTTTTTCTTTTCAAACCCTTTAAAGGGCATTTTAGTCTTTCTATCAAAATTTGAGCATGCAAAATTCATACTTCATGCCCGTTTGGTCAGTTTATTGATTTGGATGATCTTTTTGTCTTTTTCAATTTTAGTAAGTATTTTCTAGTCATTTTTCCATTAAAATATTTTTAAAAAAATTAAAATATTGGATATATTTTAAGTGCATGTATCCTATAAATTGGATTACGCCGCCATCTTATTGATAGAATAGGAGAGAGGTTTTAATAAACACTGAGAATATTTATTCTGACATAGTTTTTCTGGTATTAATTGAAGTAGTTTTTACAATTACGTTCAACATCTTAAAGTCTTTTTATACTTTATCCAGCACTCTTTAACATATTTTTTCTAGCTTGGTACATCTAATACTTTACAGTATTTTATGCTGTAATTTTATCCTGAGAGTATCAGTTCTTTTAGGAATAATTTTGCCTATTTTTCTATGACTAATTTTAATATCATGATTAGCGGCTTAAAAAATCTGTTAAGTAAATATGTATCAAGTATCTTAAAATCTTTTTTTATTTCTTAAGATGTTGGAATTTCATAGTGACGGTGAATCACAAAATACTTTAAAACAAGTCTCGAAGCTTGAAAGCTTGACGTCAATCTTGAAGCTTGAAGACCCTCGAGTTCAGTTCAACCGAAAAGCAGCTAACTTCAAATTAAAACATGGCCAAACAAAATTGAAGAGATAGTAAAAGAAAATAGCATGATGGAAACAACCCATAGTAGAAAGCTCTAAGTGGTATAAGCAAGCAACTCACCAGGCTATCACCAATTTCAAATCAGGTCGCAATAAGCGAAGCATTCCTTGGCTTTGAAACTTTTTCACGAATCCTTGAAGTTCAATGAACACTTGGGTTTGCTTTTGTGCAGATTGTAAATTGCAGTTGACTTTGTTTTCAATTTGTTTAGTACTATATCTCATGTCCTTAATGCAAGAGTTAAATCCCTAATTTACAAAAATTAAGAAAATTAATTAAGTTGGTTAGTTGTAATAAATAAGTGTTGTCTTCTATAAACTATCGTCGTTGTTAATTATGTGCATTAGATCAGAGCTACATTTTGATGAAAACCCTTTAATATGTGTAATCATTTTAGGAATTACGTAGGAACAAATGGATAAATGTTAGAGGCAAAGAAAATTGGGATTTTATATTCATGACCAAATTAAATCTCTAACTAAGTCTTATATTAAGAACTAAAAATTGTATTAGAAAAACAGGGGCAATCTGATTTTTGAGTACAATCAAACACACAAGTTCGAATTTGTTAACATGAAGATGCTCAAGAGGACTGCTCAAATTTGAATATAATATTTGGATTTGAATTTGTTTACCAGTAAAAGTTGTTTAAGGAGAATGCGTTCATTTAAATGTAAAATCCAAATTCAAATTTGTGAAGCCTCAAAACTAATGAGAGGAAGGGATATGATTACCAAACTTTAAGTCGATATAACTTTATCAATTTAAATTTAAAAATTGGGGAAATAGGCTATCATTAGAAAACTTTGAGTCTACTTTCTAATGTACTAACACATGTTTAAAAACTCTGCGCATTTTGAAAGATATTATCAAAACAGTGAGCAAAAGTCAAAATCTCTGTAATTCAATCATATCGCTCAAAATATAAAGACTTTTAGAGCCTTCCAATAATATGTCATTCACCCAATTTAAATTTAAATTGAAAAAGGTATGTTCACTGAAAATTAGTCTTTAAATTAATTTTGTATGTGTTCATTCAAGTTTGTAAGTTTCTTTGTTCAATTGTAGGGATGAAGAGAGACACTACTTGAAATTTTCTAAACATATTTGAATGTAGTAAGTCTTGTCGTCTCGTGTATCAAGTTCTAATTTGGTTAACCTTGCAGAATGGTGCCTCCAATATTCGAATTTTATAATAAATTTGAATTCCCTTACCTTAGGTACTTTCTTCTCTCAACCTGCCTACTCATGCGTCCCTTAATTCAAATGTGATTTGATAATCAAACTTCAGAGATTTCTCTAATTTCATTAATTTTTATTTTATTTTAATTATTTTTAATGATTCTTTGTTAATGATGTTTGTATTCATACTCCTCCGGTCCTTAATATGTGACTTAATTATTGAGTTGATTTTGGTTCTAAATATAAGACCTATTTATCATATTTATCAATTTTTCCTAAATTACTACTATGGATACTCCCTCAACTATAATCAAGTAGAACAGGAGAGAGAATATTAACGAAAATAATTATAATGTTTTAGAAAAAACATGCCATATTTCTTATAATTAACCAACGTGCCTAATTTTTTTAATTTAATCAAATTAATTAAATAGGTCTTATATTAAGAACCAGAAAAGTATTTATTATCAGCATCTTCCATTCGCATGAGCTTCGGTGTGTCTTGCAGTTGCATTTGGTTCTTTATTGGTGACTTGCGCTGTATACGCCATGAGGCTTTGCTTTTTCTAAGATCTCGTAGTGACGTGTCTCGATGGTTCCAAATAATCCTTCATTTTTAGAAGGTTTTTGATCGACGAAACTTCCTTATTGGTATGATCAAAAACCTAGGCTACTGATTTGGTTGCTTCTGTAGCAACTTTTTCTTAACTCCTACTGGAAGCTCTTCTTGGGGAATTGCTTTTCGGTTCATATATTTTGAACGGGGACTACACCAGTTCCTCTCTTCAACAAATTGGTCAAGCTTGCTCAAGGAAGGCAAGAGTTTGCAAAGAGCTTCATTGCATGTGGACCTTTCGCATTTTAGTGATTTGTTGTTAGGTTTTTCCTTGGCAGTTTGTGTTGATGGATTTCTGTCTTTGTTGTGATGGGTCGGCCTGATTATTTAGGTAAGTTGGGCTTTGCTCAAATTTTCTAGATATAATGAGCCAACCTTTTAATATATTCATTGTTTTTTAAACAAATTGACTTTTAATTTAAGAAAAAAATTATTTTTAAGTTAGAGCATGAATTTAATTAATAAATCTTCATTAAGGGTAATATGGCCATTTGACTAAGTTTTTACTTATTTTACTATTTTTTTAACAAAGCATACCAAACGTGCGCGAGCAAAATTTTTCCCTCCATTTCTATTCCCTTCCTTTTCTTTTTCATCATAATTAATTCTTCTCACGTAAAGGGCTCTAAACCCTCCAAACCCAAAAAAAGCTTGACACCCTTTAAAAAAGTTGAAAACTCCTTTGAGAAATTGAAAAGGAAGAACCTACAAAAATTAGATTTAATCAAAAAATTAGTCTCTTCTAACGTGACGAATCAAAATTTAAACTCCCATTACTTGTTATTTTTTGGGTGTGGGTTAGGTTGCAACGTGACGAACCAAAATTTAAACTCCCATTGCTTGTCATTTTTTTGGGTGTGGGTTAGGTTCTTAATATACTAGTATGCTACACGGAGTAAAGAATTTACCCTGCACGCCACAAATTACTTTACAACTATAGAGCATCATAAGATTGAGTCTGTCTCTTCATCTTCACTCTATCTTGGACTTGTTTTTGGCGGGAAGCAAGTGTATCGCACAAACCAAAACTGAGCAAATTAATAAAACGAGCATTGCAAAGACCCTCAAATGGTGTAAAAGGAAGATATTTCTTTAGAAATTGAGTTCAATTTGCTGAGTGAATTACCATTGGCAACGTTGAAAACCCATAAATAGGGACTCAAAGGCTAGCTAACTCCATTTGCTTCCTAAATATTGTTAATACAATTCCGTTCATCTCCAGAGAAAAATTATCAAGAGCTTGCCTTATTTGTTAGTGGAAGTGGATATAAAAGAAGTTGGAAAATGAAACAGAGAAACCAGCTCTCAAAAAAATCAGGGTGCTCAAAATATAAGAGACGCAGAAGGTCAATCATAGGGATAATAGCAGGCACCTGATAGCAAGATATTAGGGAAGTGACAAATCCAAAGGCACCGGTCACACGGGGAGTAACTTTCGTGGAGCATTGATAAGCGCAAGAGTCCTCTCATTCGACATTTTCAGTTTCGCACAGTATTGCTCATTCTGCACTCATGGGGAATGGGGTTAAATGAAATGTAGTTTTAGAACAGAGGAAAGCACTGATACCGTCCCAAACAAGATTTTTTTTTTTTGGGGGCGGATGAAGGACCCATACATCATATTTATTACTGTTCTTGAGTTCCTTCTCTAACTTCTTCATTGATGCAGAGAGTCTCCCAAGCTCCCCAAGCTGATAGAAGTTAGAAAACACCATAAAGATGTTAATAGAGGAAAGAGAAAGGAGCCTTTCCTGGTATGTACACATTAAAAGTATTGGGACTAGAAAGGGAAGCCACAAACCTCAACCAAGGTGCTACACACTGAGGAACCCATCCAACCAAAAAGCGATATTCGGCCGATTAGCTCAGTACGTTCTTTGTTCTGTAGTTGAACCAAAAAGGTTTACATGTATAACTTGATTACTCGGTGAAAGTTTCACATGAATAATTCAAGGAACAAAAAGGAAACACTTTGATTCCTACCTCGTAGATGCCTGATCTGCCAAGCCACACAAATTGATCGAGAAACAAGAAAGTTGACAGCAATGCATTTTTGGGCTGAAAATAGCATTAAACACTATATCAAGGTAAGAATGAGGAACAAAATAAGAGGGTGATGAAAAGTTGGAATAACTCTGATGAAGCTTGTACCCTTCCCAACAAAATTAAGGGAAGAAGAGTTCCGCATGGAGCTGGACTTATCAAAGCATGCAGATCGTTGAGAAACTGCATATCAAAATATCAATTAGTTTGCAACTTCTTTTCTATGTTAGGAATTCTTCTGAGTATAAGAAGAAATAAATAGCTTGCAAAATAATTTTGAAACTGTCCATTACAATTTACTTTCCAATTCTGTTACTGCAGAAACAAAGAATAACATTCACATCAGTAGAAATATTTCTCCATTTACATAAGTCAAGACTTGGCCCGAAAGAAAAAGGAATTAAGAGAATGCAGGTACGTCAAAAGATTTAGGGTGTGTTTGGATGACTTCAAACCGTGGTTTGGAAAAGTGATTCTGGAGAATAGATTCTGTGGAGAATAGATTCTGAGAAAAAGTGATTCTGAGAAGTGAGAGTGTTTGGATAGTTATTACCAGAAGTGCTTTTTACATGTGGAAATGACCAAAAAGGGTATAAGTTAATATGATAATTATATAAGGGATAGATTTTATGATTTATTTTGATTTGAAGAAATAAAATTGTTAATGAAATAATTTTTACTAACATAATTAATAATATATAAGATAATATAATTAATACATAATTAATATGTCTACATATATTTATAAAACATAATATTAAATATGTTTATAGAAAAATGATTTTTTTTATAACAGAAAAATATTAATTTTGTTTAAAGATTGTAAACGTGAAATCCCATAACATTTTTTCACAACTACTTTTTGTAATAACATACTACATGTATAATAACCTCTGATGTTTAATACAATTAATTAATTAATTGTCACCACACATATATATTCATAAAATATAAGAGTGAAAAATATTTTTAGAGAAGATGAATTATTTTGTTGCAAACAGAAAGTCATGTATTTTTCATGAAGATTATAAACATAAAATGGGATGATATTGTTTGATAAAATAGAATAAACACGTCTTAAAATAATTTATTAATTATTCAAGTAAGTAATAATTAGCTTGAGAATATAAGGCATAATATTAATAAGAGAAATATAAATAAAGAAGTGTCATAATCATTAAGATGATGCATCGATACAAAGCATTTGTAATAGGTTTTGTTTTTAACTACATATTACAATCTATGATAAAAGGAAATAAATAAGACATGACTACTATCCTCGTATTGAATTAACAAGTTCGTCTCTTATGCTGTCACGAATCTGAGCCATGTAAGATGAAGATTGAATTGATGAATGTATACGTGAAAATCTAACCCCATCATCATCATCTTCTGCATAAGTACCTTCTTCTTCCAACTGAACGAATCCAGGATCAGTAATAGATGTCGTTCTAATAAAATTATGTATAGCCATCGTTGCACAAACGATTTTAACTTGTGTTTCAAAATCATAAGATGGCATGTTTTGTAAGATTGCGAACTTTTTTTTCCAAACTCTGAAAGTTCTTTCAATTATACTCCTTAAACTTGAATGGAAATAATTAAAGATCTCATTGTCATTTTCAAACCCAGATGTCCTCCGAAAATCAGGCAAATGGTAACGCTCCCGTCTGTATGGGCCGAGATATCCATTCGGTGTTGGGTATCCAGCATCCACCAAATAATATTTTTCTATATAAAAAAATGAAATTATTGTAAATTATGTTTCTATTGTTAAGCTAAATATAAAAAAAATATAGGAAATAAAAAAATACCTTTAGGTGGATGGGGAAAGTTCATTGAAGGAGTTGTGAGGGCATGATCAAATATCCGAGCATCATGTGCGCTACCTTCCCATCCGGCCAAGACAAAAGTAAAACACATGTCCCAATCACAAACCGCCATGACATTTTGTGACACTGTTCCTTTCCTAGAGATAAATTTAGTTTGATCTGTTGCACTGACAACGCAGGAAACATGTGTGCCATCAATTGCTCCAATAGCATGTTTAAAAAAAGGCCAGTATTTACCAAACCGAATTTTTGTATGAACATGCCGGAATGTTGGATCTTTTGGTTTGATATTAGACATGGCAAGTCTACAGCATGCCATTAGGACATTATGAAAATGTCTGCTAATTGTCTCCCCTGAATGTTGAAATCTTTCTTGCTGCATTCTGCTACTAAGTGCATGCCCAACGGTATGTAAAAACATTGCAACTGATTCATGTATCCCTATATTTTTAGTTTCTTTTAGACCATGTTGTTGCAATTGTTCCACCAGACTTAAGAACACATCCCGTTCCATCCTAAACATGTTATAACAACGACTGGAGTTGCCATCTAAAACATCCCTTACCCATATGCAGCCTGTATAAGCACTTGTATGCCGAGGCTCCTTACACAAGTTCAAAATAGCGTATGCACCAACCAATGCTGCAACTTTGTTAACCCTTTTTTTCCGTCCCTTAGCATGCTCTTCCACATGTTTAATTTCATCATCCATATTCGTTTTATCCTGTGCACATACACATAAAGTTTAGAATTCCTACGTAGAAATTACGAAACATTTATAAAAGTTACAGAGTTGTCTGATTTATATAACAATCCACTGGTCACATAAAACATACACATATGGAACTGTCTAATATAATAAACAAGTCATAAATCCCTAGTAAAATGCTCTAAAATGGGTAGAAGTTGTTCCTTCTGATCCTTCAGAGCTGCATACATTTCTCGTGCATCCGGCCGTTCCATAAGGAGTTGTGTGCACCGTCTAAAGAAATCAGGATCACTGACAACTTCAGGAACTGTTTTCAGGTGAGACAGGACTCCCCTAATTGAAATGTCATAAGCACGCGCTTCTTCTTCCAACCTTCTAGCTTCTGCTCGTGAAATGACCTCATTTCCACGCTCGGCCTCAGAAATATTTGTTTCAGCAATCTTGCTAATTGCATCCGCTATTTTCATAGAGGGAGATGTGCATTTCTTCTTGACTTCACTCTTCCTTCTGACCCCCAGTGAGCTACTAGGTCGACTCCTACCTCTGCTTGTACACCCACCACTGGTATCCTGCCTCAATTCAGTGTTGCCTCCACTACCTCCACTATTATCATTGAAGTTCACTGTGTTAAATTCCCCACTTATACCAGTTGGTGCACCTAAAATTTCATCACTATCTCCGGACCCTTCTTCCAAATCTTCATTCGGTGTTCCTTCACTTGGAAGTGTCATGGAAGAAGGTGCCCATGCTTGTTCGAAGGAAAACAAAAACAGTGAATATATGAATAGCATAATTGTTCGAGATTAAAATGGATAATCTAACCTTGAATAGACGAAAAACTTTGCGAGCCAAAGTGGTTGATCTGTCGACATTCTGGGCAGTACCAGGTTGCCCATCACTAGGAAATTTTGAACCATGCTGTATTGCCCTGCAGATTTTGTCCCTGGCTTCAGCCTTGTTCAAGTATAAAACCAGAAGACCAAGTTCTGCTCTGGTTGCATCCACTGTATTCATCTTTTGTGCTTATCAAAGCTGCAAAAGAAAAGGCACAATTCTACTGTTAAATGAGGCCATCAGTTTTAGCTCAATAGAATTCTGATTCAATTGATAATATGCAAAAAGAATCATTTAAAGGAAAAGATGACTTGTACATCTATTGAACTCACATACAACAGTGTGCAACTTCACACGCATTGGAAAGAATAAGCACAAAGGTATTCTCACACATTATGGAAAAAAGCAATACAGTTTAGCAGAAGACAAAACCTCGGCTCATGTCACGCGAGCATGCAATTCATTTACACCGGCAAGTAAATGATAGTCATGGTACGAAGTGTGATTCAATTAAGTCGATATGTTTAAACAAAAAATTAAGTGGATATGCATATGTGTGTTTGACAATTTAGCCTTGCTGTAGCAATAAATTGTGGCCCATTAGTAACACTCGATTTCAAAAAAAAAAAAACACTATTTAATAATCACTTTTTCAGCAGCTTTATTTCAATTTCTCCACTCAAATATAAAGACTCGTTGCATAACATAAAGGAAGGTTGAATCCAAACAATCAACCGCCTAGAATTGAAATTCACTCCAACACAAAAGAACCAGTAAAAATCTCCACCTTGAGATCAAAATTTGAAACTAACGACTAAAAGCTAAGGGATCAGCATCTATGTTGTTAGACAAGTACTGACTAAGAACAAAAGTAGTCTAATAGGCTCTTCATTGAAGTCTTGAACAACTTTCGAATTCTCCTCTAAAAGCTTAGTGTATCTGCTGGGGCATCAGGAAAAAGGACCGTTCGTTAATCAGGATTAAATTCGTATGATTTCTTACAAAGAAAAATGAAAGAAATAAATGATTGAGGAGAAGCCAAAATATGAACAGACCCAAGATATGTTTCGCAGGTGACTCAAGCTGCAATTGCATATTATGATTGTTTTTATGGCAAAAACAACTGTTTGGATATGACTGAAATTGCAAAGAAATAAATTTTATATCGTCAAAACTCAAAACAGTAAGCCGTATTCAATAGCACATATTTTTTACCTGAATTCAATAACACATATTGAAAGAAAGTATGTGAATCACAAGCTTAAAATCCCCAATTTTCCCAGTCCTTCCTTCAAAGTTCGGAGCTACCATGCATCACAAAATAAACGATTTACAAAACAGAATATCAAAAATATGACAAATAACCAAAATGATAAATTTCAGCAGTTCATTCATGAATTCTCAATCCTGTGCCATACTAAGACGAGCACCCCCAATCAGACCCAAAATCCAAAGCTTCAAATCCAATAATCTTCTTGCACCACAAACAAAAAACTCAACAAAAACAAAACCATGAAGAGCCTATGCATCATATTTATTACTGTTCTTGAGTTCCTTCTCTAACTTCTTCATTGATGCAGAGAGCCTCCCAAGCTCCCCCCACTACAAAAAACTTGACTTTCAGTGGCGACAAAAGTCGCCGCTGAAAGTATAAAAGTCGCCGCTATCGTCACTGAAAAGTCGTTGCCGTAGCAGCCGTGACTAAAAAAGTCACCGTTGAAAGATACTTTCAGCGGTGACTTTTAGAAGTTTCGGCGGTGACATTTGTCGCCGCTGAAAGCAATATCACTCCTCCTTGTCACGTCATCGTCCAAATATTTTCACCTTAAATGTGTCTTCTTCAAGGTTCGAACTCGTGACCACCTCTTTTCTTGTCTAATCTTCTTGCCGCTGAGCCAGATTGAATTTGTTTATTAATATTGTAAAATAAAATATATATTATTATATTACATTTTCAGCGGCGACAAAAAAAGTCGCCGCTAAAAGTCCACTTTCAGCGGTGACAAAAAAAGTCGCTGCTGAAGGTCCACTTTCAGCGGCGACACTTTTGTCGCCGCTGAAAGTCTTAGTTTTAGCAACAAACTTTTAGCGGTAACAAAAAAAGTCACCACTAAATGTTCACTTTCAGCAGCAAACTTTTAGCAACGACACCAAAAAGTCGCCGCTGAATGCAGCGGCGACTTTTTTTGTCGCCGCCGAAAGTCGTCGCCTAAAATCTGTTTTTTTGTAGTGCCCCCCAAGCATTAAGTCTGTCAAGGTTTGAAACATTGTTTTGCTTAGCGACAATAATTCCTAAACATTTTAAGCACAAATCTATGATTGGAAAAAACTCTAAATATTAGTAAAATACGTAATATTCAATAAATTAAATATTATTTTCGTACATCAATATAAAATTAAAATGAATAGCAAAACAGGATATAAATAATGTAATTTATTGAAAAAATTGAAAATTGCACAGTCTGGAAGCAGGCATCACAAGGGGCTATGTTGGCCGTTTAAGTGAGGAGTAATAAAAAGTGAACATTTGTCATGCGAAGGAACTTCAAAAACGGAACATTTTCAATCTTTTAATTATAACTTAGCCACATTTGTTGGGGTAATGACGCAAACATTGAGTGTGTCAAAGGGCAAAACAATATATTACTGACAATAATTCCTAAACTTTTTTTTAAGTCAGATCCATAGTTAAAAACACTCTAAATATTATTAAAATAACAAATATTTTGCTCTATATGGCATGTTTTGAATTAATTCATCTTTAAAACGCATCAAAATGAAAATAAAATGAATGGCAAGCCACAATATAAATAATACAATTTATTAAAAAAAATGAAAATTACACGGGTTTGAGAGCTGGCATCACAAGAATGGAAAGCGAACACATCGCCGGGAAAAAGGCTTAAAGATATTAATCTTAGATTAGGTTGGAAATCTGACAAATAAAAGTTCCAAAGCTGTCTACAAGGAGATGCTTCATAATAGGGTAGCATGATGATCATGAATCAACATAATTCAAACATTACTCTCGCAAAACTCATTTTGATATCTGGATCTAGTAATGTTTCTTATCGAAACTGTGATATTTTAGGATTAAAATACAATTTTAATAACAAAGTTTATCCTAAGGAACACTGGATACCATAAAGTTTACTTGGATGTAGAATTGATACACATGAAGTTGTCAAAAGAGGACATTTAACATGAACACTAAGCCATTAACATCCGTTAGTTTACCGTTAGACGGGCTCATGAAGTCAGTTTTAAATTACATTTTTAACAACAAAGTTAATGTCAAGGGATATTGGGCACCATGAAGTTTACTTAGGTGTAAAAATATATATAAACTTTCTAAAATGAGGGGAAAAAAACAAAATTATTCAACTCTGATAAACGTCTATTAATTTTAATTCTTTTTGGTCCTATCAAATGTCATATTTTCTCTCCATCAATTTTCAATTCCAAGTTGATCCATCTTTCTCTCATCATAGTTAGCACACACACTCTCTGTCATGTCATTTTCTCAGCTTCCAAGCCTTTTATATGTATTTACACAAAACGATGTCTTTCCCTTCCAAGATATGAGGTTCATTGCTTGCATCCAAGTACTACCTCTTGTCCTTATGCTCTGGTTGGATAGAAAGAAAAGTTGAGAGGAAAGAAAATGAGAGGAAAGGAAATAGAAAGAAGAAAAAATTGAACGAAAGTTGTCATCATCCTTCTTGCTTGGATGGATGAGAGAAAATAGAGAGGAGAGAAAATTAGTAAATATCTAAATGACTAAAATATCCTTATCAAAATATATCATATTTAAAATTAAATTAAATTAAACTAAATACTGTAATAGAAAAATTATACTGACATCAGCATTATCAAATAATTTAAAACCAAATTATTTGATTTATATATTTTTTCATATTATTATGTTTTAAAACCAAATTATTTAATAAAAACATTGTTTTAAATATAATAAAAGAAGATAAATATAGAGAGGAAGAGAGAGGAGGGATAATCATGAAAATCTTGTTTCGCATTCCAAATCTCTCCATATATGGAGAGAAAATTTGGAGAGAAAATAAGACATGAGACCCATCTTATTTTCTCTTTCACTTTTCCTTCTTCTTATATTTTCTTCCCTATCCAAGCAAGGGAAAACTTGTTTCTCTCCATGTTTTTCTTTCTAGTTTTCTTTTCTCCCCAATTTTCTCTCAATCAAAGCAAGGAATTAATATAGGACATAATAGACTAATTTGAGGAGATTAAAAAAATTAAATAAATTATTTTAAAGTGTTATATTTATCATTTTTTCCAATTTAATTGGTTTGGCTTATAAACTAATATATAATCTAATAATATATATAAATATTTTTGAGATATCATATACCATATGCTATTTTTAAGTAATTGTTTTACTTCTTCAATTTTTTTTCCAAATTAGTTCATTATACTAAGGAGAAGAGGAAGTAAGAATAAATAAAGAGAAAATGTGATATTTCATAGGATCTAAAAGAATAAAGTTAACTGATGTTTTTGAGAGTTGAAAAATTTTGTTATTTTCTCCCTTTTCAAAAAGTTTATGTATATTTTTATACCCAAATAAATTTCATATTGCTTAGTGCCCCTTGATATAAATTTTGTTGTTAAAAATATAAATTAAAACTGACTTCATGAAGCCCTCTAATGGTAAACTAATGGACGTTAATGGCATGATGTCAAATGTCCCATTTTAACAACTTCATATATATTTTTGCACAAAAATAAATTTTATGGTGCCCAATACCCCTTAATGTAAATTTTTTTATTAAAATTGCACCTTAACTCTATATTTTATGTCATTCTTAATCTCTATTTGATGAGGGATATTCATCTAATTTAACCAGTTTTGATCTAGAGAAGAGAAAATCAGGATCTTTATGCAGATGATAGGTGTATACGTTGATTGAGAATTTTCCTTCAGCAAATGTCCTTAAATCCTACTAATAAATGTTCACCAGCATTAACTCCAAATAATACTTATTATAAAAAAATTATTTTCACAACCAGGGCATTGCATGGGATTTGTAATAGTTTATTGTTTAAAGGCAACATAAATTTGCAGGAAATAATGGAAAAGTTTGATCATCAACTTTTTTTATTCCAAGTCAAATTTTGTCAATGTTTTGATTGTCTAAAGTAATTAAAATATTCCAGGAAGTCTTGAAAATCCTTCAGATACAATCTTTTTTTTTCTTCGTGTCAATAATATGATGTCGAAATAAAAAAATACTTTATTTTTGTTTCTGGTTTAGCATGATTAAAAATTTTCTGTAACAATAAAGGGAAAAAAAGGTAAGTATAAATTTCAACAGAAAAATGAAAATATATCTTTATTTTTGTTATATTAATTTTCATCAGAAAATTATTATTTTATTATCATTATATTTAAATTATTATTAATGATCATGGGAAATTGATTTTAATGAAACATAAAATAAGTTTTATAAGAGATCCTCTTTTTGTGTTAGTAAGTGTCCAGTGATGAGAAGAATAATGATTATGTTTTTATTAACACTAACTCAATAAATATGGCAATTTATTTTATAATCAAAATATATTTAAATTATTATACTCCTCCTATTTTTAATATAGAACCTAATTGTTAAATTAATTTTGGTCCTAAATATAAAACCTATTTTTCATATTTACTAAATTTTTTTTAAATTATTCCTATGGATACTCCCTCAACCATAATCAAATAAGTGAGAGAGGAAGGATATTAAGAAAAATGTTTATAGTATTTTAAGAAAAGTATGTCATATTGTTTATAATTAACTAACTTACCTAACTTTCTTAATCTAATCAAATTAATTAAATAGGTCTTATATTAAAGACTGAAGGAGTGTTATGAAAATATAAAATATAAATAATAAAATTTGAAATTAACGACAAAACAGATTTAACAATGAAATTAGTGATGAAAAATTTTCATACCAAACAATTTAGCGATAAAAATACTGATGACAATTAATGTGTGAAAAATTGTGATTGCTTATGTCACAAAATTTCTAACAAAAATTGATGATGGAATTAGTGGCGCATTAGCGACAAAATGAAATTCTATGGCTAACAAAAATTTTGTTACTAATCCATCAATAATATTAGAGATGAAATTTCTACCGGAAATTAGCGATAGAATAATTTCTGTTGCTAATTTTATTAGTAATAAGCGGTTTGTTTTAGTGTCTTAGTCTAGTTTCATTCTGCTTGTTTCTTTTTTTCTTTTCTTGGCCTTCTATGTCAAATGGCACCAATTTTGTCACCTAAAAATGAAGTTTTCGCAAACAGTACATTCTACAATATTTTCTTTTCATTATAGGGTTTCAAAACATTGTGCGTGTGTGTATTATATCTTAGATGTTTATACAACGATAAGCTTATCCTTAGTGGCTTCTGTCTTTGCCCGATCTAAGAAAATGAATCTTTTTTTAACTAAAACTTCTATTATGTACACCAATTGACAAAAGAAGTGGTCTAAAAAGTTTAATTTTTAATACCGTTTACGTAGCCGGTGTAAAATATCTATTCTATCCGATCTAAAAGACTTTTTTTTTCTAGGGCCATAATTAATTTAAATAAAAATAGGTATAACTTAAATATTTTCCCATACTTGTTATTATTCGTATTTGTGCCACAGTGGAATGGGGACTGGGTCCTAATCCTCTCAGAATAGACTAAGTATGGCCCCTGTATAATTTGCATTGATCTTGGATTGAGGCTAAGATATTTTAGCTCAAGAGTCGGAGATAATCTCAAAAAGAAATTGCCTTAGAGTGACCCTTGATTACCAGCAATTATTTTGATTTGTTTTTAAAAAAATGCATGTCGATCGTTCAAGTGACGAAAATATTACAATGCTAATTGAAAAATAATATATATTTATATATATAGTCTTGATCAATATGCTATATAGATATATTCTATATTTACAGATTTATTTAGATCAAGGCAAAGTAAATTAATAAAAAGATTATAGTTGACCAGATTTTAATTTAGAAAGGATAGATAAAATGTGGGATTTGTGCATCTCATATTACTTGGAATTCAAGCATTCCACGATACTCAATTCTGTTTTTTTTGTTTCCGAATGGACTGCTTAATTCTTTATCATTAGAACTGTAAAATGCTTATGATATATCCAAAACGGAAGATCATGTGAACAGTAACTCCTTCCTTTGCTTTAAAACGGTGTCGTATTGTGAAAAAAATGACAGGGGAAAAAGAAAAGATTGCAGGAGAAGCGTGAATGGGAAATTGCTGATTAATGTTTTGTTTGGGAGTGTGATTGAAGAAATTTTAAGACATTGACAAAACATACTCCCTCTTATTTTAAAAATAAGTCATTTATAAGTAATTCATATGTATCAATAAAAATAAGCTAAGGTATATATTTGATCTTTTAACTTTTTATAATATTTTAGTTTGGTCTCTTGACTTTTTAAAAGCATACATTTGGTCTTTTATCCCTAAACTCATTAGGCTTAAATGGTGATTTTTTTTGTAACAACCATGGTTATTTTGAAAATAAAACTTAATATGTTAGTTTTTAAAAATGATTTATCAATATTTAATATCTCAATATCATCATTCTTTGTTAACAATTTTAAGATTAAAGAACTAAAAGTATATTTTTTAAAGTTAAAGGACTAAATTAAAACTCTATAAAGTTAAAGAAATAAATGTATACTTTAGCCATAAAAGTATTAAATTTATCATAAAATTCAAGTGATTTTCAATATCATCCTTACTAATTATAATAAAATTAAATATTATATTAATTTTTATTCTCACTAACAAATGTCTCAAAAAAGACTAAAAAATATTTTCTAAATAATGCCATACAATAAACATCAGAGAAAGTAGTAAATGGCCTACTATAATATAGGGCACCTGCTACTATAATGCACTTTTTCGAAGGTATTTTTAGTCAATTCTACAAGGAATTTACTAGTTGTAAAAGAATTTTAAATAGTATTTTTTTCATGCATACTCATATTTAACAATAATAGTGGGAGAGTATAATGCTTTATAAAAAGAACTAAAAATACTTTTTAGAAGATGTCTTATAATAGAGATAAGAGAAAATAGCAAATATCCTACTATACACTTTCTATAAGGTATTTTTAGTCTTTTTATAATGCCAAAAAAATTAAATAGTATTTTTTTTTATAGATGCTTGTATTTAATAAGAGTAGTAAAAGAGAGCAGAAATTAATAAGATGTTAAAATTTGTTGGCAAAAAATGATATTGAAAATTAATAGTTAATAAGAATGACATTGAAAATCTATGATAAATTTAATGGTTTTAATTGTTTTTATTTATAGATATAAATTAGTTATAAATTACTTGTACTTAAAACCAGAAGGATCATGTTTTGTCAATATCCTAAAATTGTTAAATTTTTATTCTTCAACCATATTTCAAAACAAAACATTAATCAGTAATTTTCCATTCACGCCTTTCCTGCCATCTCCTTTTCTTTTTCTTGGTCATTTTCTTCACCAAATGACACCGTTTTAAAGGAAAGGAGGAGCCGTGGATATTAAGGCAGCCGAGAAAAGCCATTCTGATCTGTATTGATCTTGATTAAGGCCAAGGTGCTTTAGTTCAATAGTTGGAACCCGTCTCAAGAAATAATTATCTTAGAATGGCCCTTAAGTACCACAATGCATGTTGATTTGTTATTTAAAAAATGAATGTCGATCATTCAATTCACAAAAACTTTTACAATGCTAATTGAAAAATAATAACAAAAATAATATCCAGTCGTGATCAATATGCTATATAGATACATTCTATATTTATAGATTTATTTAGATCAAGGCAGAGTAAATTAATAAAAACATTATAGTTGAACAGCTTTTAATTTCAAAATGACAGATGAAATGTGGGAATTGTGCATCTCATATTACTTGGCATTTAAGCATTCCATGCTACTCAATTCTTTAATCAGAACTATAAAATGCTTATGGTGCAGCCATTCAATAAACTAATACAGTATATATAAGGTAAGGGGCCAGGCCCACGGTAAGAGGAAGAATTAATAAGTTACAAAATCCATTTGGTTGGCAGCCGAAAACCATTTGGATCCATGTCAATAACATCGAAGGCTCAAAAAAGTTACAGACGTAGACAGGCATTATTTCTGCTTTATCCACCTCAAATGGCCATGTCAAAGACACCTCACTGATCAGCAAAAAGCCCTCCTGCAAGCTTAAGGTAGGAAGCACCTACATTGCATAAAATGTCAACTCAAAAAAGAGAAATATTCCCAACTTAAATCTCAACAAATTAATAACAGAATCATCACATGAGTGTACAAGGAAAATATCTGTTAAAACTTGAATTCAATTTTCTGAGTAAACTACGAGTTGCATTCCCTGAAACTCCATAAATATGATTTTACCATCAACAAAGTTGAAGGAAGATGATATAATTGAGCTTGACTTATTTGGGCTGGGAAAAGCATAACAAGGCGACAATGAGGAATTGAATTAAGGGAATGGGAGCTCCACGTGGAGCTGAACTAATCAGAGCATGCAAGTCATTGGCAAACTGCATAACGAGGGATACAAGCAGTGATGGCTCTAAAGAACAATAAAATATCAATTATTTTGCGACTTCTTTTCTATGTCGGAATTGCTCTTCAAGTGTAAGAAGAGACCAATAATTTGAGAAATAATTGTTTTGAAACTTTCTCTAAGCAGAAGAAAAAGTGTAATATTCACACAGCTAGAAATATCTGGTTTTCTTCATTTAAATAAATCAAGACTTGACCCAAAAGAAAAAGGAATTAAGGGGATGAAGATAAGTAAGAAGACTTTTAAAAAAAAAATCCATTTAAATAAACTAAAAGAACTGAATAAATGTGTAAAGTAATTATTTCAGAATAAAACAGAATAACTTTACATTCTGAGCAGTACCAGGTTGGCCATACACTTAGAAAGTTGGAACAATACCGTTTGCGCTGCGTATTTTCATCCCTGGCTTCAGCTTTGCTCAAGTATAAATTGCAAAAAACCAAATTCTGCTCTGGAACTGATGTCGTCATCCCTGGAGCTAATCAAAGATGCAAACCAAAAATAAAGGGTAAAAACAATTTAGAAGAAATATACAAGTGATTAATGGCAACATCTCCCCAAGAAAAATCAGAATCTGTTTTTGAGGAAATAAAAAAAAATGAAGAGTAGGAGATTGGAGCATATTAATAAAAACTATACCAGTCAGAATTTATATTTAACTTGAGCTGCAAAGGGTCCTCTTGTTTCTTCTTGCGCATAAATTTGAGTTGCAGTGGGTGACAGATGAAGTTATCATGAGATTTGTTGGATTTAGTAGTAGCCAACCCCAACTGCAATGCCAGTCCCAGGGGAGTAGGTTGAGAGATCCAAGAATTGTTGAGCCGCTTTGTGGGAGGGACTCCATCTTCAACAACTATATCAGCAACCCTCTTTCTTTTTTGACCCGACCCAGGCTCCGACTCCGAGTCATATATTACGTGTACTCCACATGCTTCAATAGGGACTTTGTGGTTGCGATACATCTTTCCATGATCCCGCCATTCCAGAAAGAATTCACATGAAATCTTAACATCATCACCTGTTCCAGTACCAAATGGGAACCCCTTCCTGGGCCATATAAAAACATGGTCTGAATCCAATTCATAAAGAGGTTTATTACAAGGCAAGGACTCGGTCACAATATCATCGCAAGTGATATAACAGGTGACGAGAGGGTCCTGTCCCGGTGATCTGAGATGACGATGAGGAGCAACACAACAAAACAATATGCCAATTGCTCGTTCAAGATTGCAAGTGAATTGGATAGTATTGGAAGCCTCTGTCATTTGTTTATATTTCATCCACTTTGGAACTCTGTTTCCTGGGTAACAAGCTGTAGCACCCCTAATATCATCCTTACAAGCTGAAGTCAGTGAGAAATGAGTTAATTCCTCAATAGAGCCAAGCGAACACTCATCCAACTTTACACAATTTTTGAATTGAAACCAACACGGATTGCAAACTAGAGAGTCAGAGGATACAGTCTCCAATAAAGTGCAATCATTGGCATCTAATGCTTTAAGCATGGGAGGAAGTCCAAGTATCGACTTAAGCCTTTCGCAGCCAAATAGGTAAATGCTTGTCAAGCTTGAAAGATGGCTGACGCAAGGTGGCAATGTCTCTACACCACTATGTTCCAATGACAAATAATGTAACCTTGTTAAGTACTTGATATCGTCAGGGATTTCTGACAAGTAACTCCATCCATCCAAACATAGTTTTTCCAAATTATGCCAAGCATTAAAAAGGGAGCGCAGCTCCTCTGTGTGAATTTCCTGCTTGAAATCACGAACCTGAAACTCCTTAAGATTTGTCAAGCAACACAGCTCCTTTATTGGAAGACTCCTCAATCTTTCACCGTGAAGAATTAAAAGACTTCTAAGCTTTGTGAAACGTCCGATTGGCAAATCCAATATTTCAAGTCTAGTTTCTCGAAGATATATGCTTTCCAATTTATTTGATGACAAACAAAATTTCTTGAGGCCACATCCGCTAGCTTGGAGATCGGAGAGAGATTCTAAATGAGTCTCACTTTCAAGACTCTCTAATTCATGGCAATAATCTACATCCAATTTAACAAGAGTGTGGAGAGATAAAATGGATGGATGAACACTCCTCAAACTTGAACAATCAGAGAGATCTATATTTTCAAGCTTATATGCCATAGAAAAATCAGGCAATTCCATCAATTTATGGCATAGACGCAAATTTATTGTCCTTAGATTCACAAGATCCTGTATTTACAATGAAAACAAAAAAAAATTACCCCAAAGGCCCTAATAGATTAAATTTGACTGAACCTATATAAAATTTAGATTAGTATATATACAAGTACCTTCACTCCATCCCAAAGCTTTGTAACATTGCTTCCATTCATTCGTAGTTCAACAAGGTTTTCAGGACAAAAGTCCAATGGCAAAGACTTCGATGGATAACAATCCCAATGAAAAATCCTTAATTTATTAGGAAAAGAGTCAATACCAAAAGGAAGCTTTATACAGGTCTTGGTTTTAGACCATTGCCTATTAAAAACTTTGAGGATTCTCAATTTTTTCATCTTTGAGAAGGCGTTGGCTCTCATATGTAAATCTTTGATTTGAGACAAATCCAGTGAAATGCCTTCAATTTCATTGGTTTCCTAAAAAAAATAAAATAAAATAAACATTAACCTTTTTAGAAAAACTATCAAAAAAATAAAAAATAGAAGAAATAAATTGAAGTATCTTTCCCTTACCTTGTTATCTTTTAACACATCACATATTTCATCTGCATCATTTAATCGACTACGTAATTCAGGATGGTTCACACATTCCTCACGAACTATTTGCTCAGCCATTTCTCGTATCAAATCATGCATTATAATATGGTCAAGCTCACCTAACTTCACGAGAGCTTTATCTATAAGATTTTGTATTCCACTAACTGCTCTGAAACCACAAGCCTCTAGTGGAGGAATAACTTCACCTTTCTGTTCTCCCACGAAAAAGAATGCAATGTCTAATAATATTTGCTTGTCCATATTATCTAACCCATCATAACTCACCTTCAATATATTTTGAATATCCTGATGGGGATACTTTTGGAGTTTGCTAAGCTCACTTTTCCAATATGCTTCATCCCTAGAATGAAAATGGGAACCCAGAACTTCTAAAGCTAAAGGAATGCCTCTAGCCAAGGCAACTGTTGAATTTGATAGCTCTTCATATCCCTTAATGGGATAATTTTGATTGAAGGCATGTATACTGAAAAGTTCAAGTGATTCTTCTAAACTCAATTCACTGACTTCATGTATATATTTTTCCTGAATCCCTCCACTCCTAAGAACATGCTTGTCTCTACTTGTTGCAATGACTCTGCTTCCCTGTCCCAAGTAAAGTTGTTGTCCAGCCAGGTCTTTTAGCTGCTTTGGATTGTCCACATCATCAAGTACAATTAACACTTTTTTTTTGTTTCAGCATTTTCACTGCACGATTCACATTTATGTGATCTTTTTCGTCTAATAGCTTAGAAAAAAGTTTTTGACGCAACAAACTCGGACCGCCAATTGTTTTTGATTCTTGTCTCACATTTTCTAAGAAACAATGACCTTCAAATTTAGACAAGAATTTTTCAAATATAGCACGAGCAAGGGTTGTTTTGCCTATCCCTCCTAGGCCCCAGATTCCAAGAGCTCGAACCTCTGGCGACTCATTTTCCATTAATGATTCAACACTAGTCAAATTTTGATGAAATCCAATGAGTTGAGATCTCGACACAGTTGGACTGTGATCTTCCAAATTTTTTAGGACATCTTCAACTATTGCATTGATGAGTTTAGATTCATCTCTAGCATATAAAAAACAAATAAAATTTTTAGAGTTGCTTGTTATAGAAATAATGAATACTAGACAAAATTTTAATATATTTAGATTGTTTTTGGCAAATCGAGAAAAAAAAAAAGTAACTAAGAATAATAAAAACAAACTTACTGAAAATTTGATGAATGAAAACCAGCTAAGTTTGCAGTTTTTTTCAAAACAGATCTCCAAATTTGCAAATTTTGCACTTTATCCTTGAGCTTCTGTTCATGACAAGTGAATGCCTCCTCATAAGTGCCTCTTTGGTGCCTGACATCTGATGGATCTACGTGGTAGAAAATTGGTATCACAATCTGCTGACCAGCTTCCTTACATTCTATGATTTTGACAAGCTCTTCCAAGCACCACTTTGAAGAAGCATAATTTTTTGAGAATATAACCAACGCTATCATGGATCCTTCTATTGCTTCTACAAGTGCTAATGATATTTCTTCTCCTCTTTCGAGCCTGTCATCCACGTAGACATCTATCTTCTTTCGAAGCAACTCGTTTTTCAAATGGCAAAGGAAACTAGATCTGACGTCTGTTCCTCTAAAGCTGATGAAGACTTCATACTTTCTAGAGGAAACTTGGGAAGAAGAAGCAGAAGCAAAAGCAGCCATTGCTTGAAGACAAAAAGGAGAGAAAAAAAACAATATAATGTTTTATAAGTTGTTGATTGTCTCTTAAAAAGAACAAAAGAATAGCGTTTAAGACGCTAGAGAATAAGGGAGAAAGACCATATTAATACCTCATTGGTGGGGGTCGCTAGATCAAATATGAGGTTGAAGACTTGAAGTTGATTTGGTGAGTTCGCTTGTGTTGGGAATTCGATCGGCACAAAGGTATAACGAGCATTTAAGCCATTGTTTGCATGTAAGAGTTAACAATCAACTAAGAAGGTGCCGGTGGAAATTTCTTCCTCAAAGTAGGCTGAAATTTCCTCCTCAAAGTAGGCTGAAATTTCCACGAAATAATGAAAACTTGTGTCAGCAACACTTTTTGACTCCAAGTCAACAATGCTTTTTTTTTTTTTATTGGGGTCTTAATTGTTTAAAAATTAGAAAATTTCAGGAAGCCATGAATGTTCTTTCGGTATGATTTTTTTTCTTCCTTGTTTTGTTTCTGATTTATAGTATGTTGAAATTTTCTATTCCAACCCCAAAAAAAGAAAAGGTACTTAGACACTTTTATGGAAGTTAGGCTTTTTTCCTGCTTAAAGTAATAATTTTTATCAATCCAAAAATGTAAATGGAAGTAAATAGGCAAAATTTCAAAAAAATACTTCTTCAATTTTTCAAATTTTAAATCAGTCTCGTGTTATACTTTAATAATAATTTACTATACCTTAAAAGTTAATAACAACACATTTTTGTAATAATTCTTAATTTCAGATGTTGAAATCCAAAAGATTTTTTTTTTGGGGGATTCTTCTTGATTTAAAGTACGTAGAAATTTGAACATTTGAACAGAAATATAAAGCCTGTAAAAACTTTCATTTTTTCTTGATCACGTCATAAATCACATGCCCCACTGCACAATCACATGCTTCTTTAACGATTCATTTTGCCCTAGGGTTCCCAATCAAAGCTTCAACCGAAGTAATAAAAAATCCAGGGTGTTTAGTTTTCTGTTTTAAAAATAGTTTTTTCAAAGAAAAGATGAAGTATATTATATTTTAGGAGAAATCGCAAAAAAAGACCCTGAAATTTGAAAAATACAAATAGGTACCTATGACAATTTCATTTTGGATTTTGACAACTTCATGACATATTATTATTGTCAAAAGCCATAGTGAAATTATCAATGGTCCCTATCTATATCTATATTTTTTAAATTCTAGAGTCTTTTTTTGCAATTTTTCCTATATTTTACCATGCTAATAAAATAAATTATTCTTTCGCTTTTCATTTCACTATCTTAGATATGTTTTTGAAAATAATAATTTAAACAGGTTTTTCTAACTATTTCCCCCGAAATTTGTGCCAAAATATTACTGTGTAGAACTGTTCAAAGAACGTAAAAATTACCAATAGAATAAAATAAGCCATAGGTTTTCCTAAATTTTTAATTTTTATATCCATATTAAAGGGTTTTTAATTTAAAAGCACGTAAAATACAAATAATTAAAAGGAGTACTTTGATATGATCAATGGAATGGAGAATAAGTAATTGTCTTTTTATCAAAGTTAATCCCACTGTCAGCCACCTCAGTCGTTTTTAACAGTAGTCATGAGTCTGTGTCCCTAGCTAACGCTTCTCCAGCTGAAGGAGTGACGCATGTAATAATGGAAATGATTAGAAGAGAAAAAATTCTAAGGATAAGATTAAAGATTGAGTAAAATTATAGGTGCTTATAAATTAATTTTCTATAACTTCCATCAATGTAAAATATTTGATTTGCTTATAAAAATAAAAAGAAATCAAAACATCCTTAAAAATAAAAATAAAAATACTCCTTCCAATCCTATTTATAATATCCCCCAATTTAAACTGGTTTGGTTTTTTTTTGTCAGATCCTACTATCAAGGGTTGTCTGAACATTAAATGATTTTTTATCAATTTTGTCTATAATTAATTTTTTTATTATATTCTCTTTCATGTTTCATTTCATAACTAATATTTCTTTTTCTTATTTGCTCCCTCATTAAATAAAGACATACTTGAAAAATAAAAACTTAATTTTGTTTATAACTAATTTTAATTGTTTTTTTAAACATGTAATTTAATTAACAGGATGTTATTAAAAAGATAGGAGGAAGTAATGATCAATCAACTGTCAATCATCAACTATATTCTTTAAAACTTATAATACTCTATTCATTTGATAATGGGTCGGGTATGATATTATTATATCCGAATATATTCAATTAATAAGATTTGAATAGTATATTAATTGAAGTTTGAATATATTAAATTAAATAAGAAGCATTATAAATAAATGAAATTCAATTAGAGGCTTAAATGAAGAAATTAATAATTAAGTTTAAATATGAATAATATCTTAATTAGAATTTAAATATATTGCATTAAATGTAAAGCATCATAATTAAATAGTATGTCGATTGAAGCCTTAAATAGAAAAATAAATAAATAATTTTAAATTTTTATCCATTCCTCTTAAATTTCGCATCTCTAATTCAATTTCTATTTAAATGAATAAAAAAATATGAGAAAATGACAATAAAATACCACTTGAATTCTAAAAAGACAAATAAGGGACCTGAATAAGCAAAATGAAAAATAGGACACTGGGTACTAATCTGGAATTTTGATTTTTGATTTCAAAACATGTTGCAAAACCCATTGACAAAGTAGTAACTCTCACTATGAAAGTTGTAAATCTCACTATGTGTTTTGTAAAATTCAGCGTGGAATTATATTGTTTCTTACAGAAAAGTTGCCTAACCCCTCAAAATAGGTTGCAAAAGCCATTGACCAAGTAGTAATTCTCATTATGAAAGTTGTAAATCCCACTATGTGTTTGTAAAATTAGGCAAAACTTGCTCGGCCCTTCAAAACAGGTTGTAAAACCCATTGACGAAGTAGTAACTCTCACTATGAAAGTTGTAAATCCCACTATGTGTTTTGTAAAATTCAAAATCAAAATCCTATATTGGTACCTGATGCCTTCTTTGTCATTTTGCTTATTCAGGTCCCTTATTTGTCTTTTTGAAATTCAAGTGGTATTTTATTGTCATTTTCACAAAAAATATCACAGTCCTATAAAAAGTAGATCTTGAGTTATAATAGATAATACAATTTTTTATAATTTTAAATATGTTAATCTGTGCATCGCGTGAGGAAGAAATTTCTAGTTATATTAATACCTTGGTGAGAGTGTCTAATTACCTATTTGAGACAAAATATTATTTATTAGTAAAGTCACTTGGAAAAATTAATCCAAAAAGACTAAGTTCATTTTGCGAATTTGTTCGTGCAGGCTATTTGAGTATTCACATTACATCGGTGGACACCTACTATTATTATTTAAATGAGCCATAAATTTTCACGAAATAATGAAAAAGTGTGGTCATCAAACCTTTTCACTTTTTTTTTTTTATTAAAAGTTTCCACTGAGTGATTCCATTCACATTTCGTCGGTTTTAAATAAAGTAATCAAAAGCACTTTCCCATTGTGTAAGTTTTTTTTTTTTGTCGTTTTCATCAATTTTTTTCCTGAAGTCTTGAAAATCCTTTAAATATAAGCCTTTCTTTTTGTTAGACTAAAATGGACAAAACATCTTCATTAATCATGAAACAAGAAGCTTATTATAACAATTTATAGTGAATTGATCCTAAAACTCTTAAAAGCTGTTGACGGAAATTCCTACGAAACAATGAAAACTTTTGTCCATAGCTCTTTTTGATTCTAAGTAAACAAAGCTTTTTTTTTTAAGGGTTTTTATTCTTTAAAAATTAGAAAATTTCAGGAAGCCATGAAAGTTCTTCCGGTATGATTTTTTTCTTCCTTGTTTTGTCTCTGATTTATAGTATGTACTATGTAGAAATTTTTTTTTACCAACCCAAAAAAAAAAGTACTTAGGAACTTATATGGAAGTTAGTTTTTTTTCGTGTTTGAAGTATAATTTTTCATTAATATGTCAACATTTGAGAATATTTTTTTAGGATTTAAACTTATAATGTCAATATTTCTTTTAATCTATGGTATTAATGTTAGAGAATTGAGAAAAATACTTTATAAAATTAAAAGACTAAACTTAAACCTAATATAAAGTTAAAATATAAAAAAATCAAAATGATATTGAATGTAAAAAATTATAATTATCATATTAATACCTTAGTGGGAATATCCAAAATCAAATATTAGCGTAGGTTGAAATTATAATTTAGCAATGACTTGGGTTTTTTTTTTTTTTTAACCATGAGTGAACATTTTTGGTTTGCAGTGTTTCACGAAGCTGTAGTGAAAATTGCTTCTTGGAAACAATTGACTCCAAGTCATAAATATTTTCTTTTGGTTTTATTTTAAGAAGTTTTATTTATCTTCAAGGATTCTTTACTGTCATCAAATACTAAACAAATTTTAAAAGACAATAAATATGTAAAAATATGTTTTATTTTTTTATAAAATACACTTATTCATAGGAGAGGGTGAGCAAACGAAAGAGAAAATGAATAGAAAAAATTGTGAAAGATGATTAATGCAATAATATATTTCTCTATTTCTATTTATATGACAGAAAGAGAAAGCTTTTCTTGGTCAAAACATCCGAGTGTCTATTTTGAAAACAACACAATTAATTTAAATAAATTTATGTATTTTATTAGACAAAATTTTTCTTATATATTTATCTTATATGATCTAAAATTATTTGAAAAAATTAACCAAACAAATGCCAAAACAAAATAATAGCTTGAAAAAGTTAATTTGACGAATTCGCTTATATTGACATGTTGAGCATTCACATCGTGTTTGGGGACATCTCTTATTTAAAGTAAGCACAAATTTGCACGAAGCACTGAAAAAAGTTTGGTCTTCAAACATTTTTTGACCCCAAGTCAAAAACGCTTTTTTTTTTATTGTTTAAAGTAATTAAAAGTTTCCACTAAGTGATTTTATTTTTATTGTGTTGAATTTTTATTTTTATCAAACTGTTTT